TTGTTTGTGATAGTCTTTGTCTAGTTTTAGTATTGTGGTAATAATGGCCTCGTGGAGTGAGTTATAGGGGCCTTGTTTTGTGGTATTGGACATTCAGTTTAGGGCCTCATATGTGGTAGGTGAGCTCTCTGTCAACTAGTCTATATCCTTAGCCATTTCTAACTTTTTATTTTGAGACAGGGTCTCACTAAGTTGTTTAGGCTGGAACTGAACTCACTGTACAGTAGCCTAGGCAGGCCTTGAACTCCGTGATCTTTCTGCCTTTGTCTCTGGAGTAACTGGGATTGAGTCTGTGCCATTATGGCTGGTTTTGTTTTGTTTTGTTGGTGCTGTTTGTGACTGAGCACAAAGCTTACATTCTACTGCTGAGCTCTACTCCCAGTTTCTTTGTAGTCGATGATGGGAAGTGTGCAACAGTGTTCACTTGCTATGTAGCTCAAGTCACCCTCCAACTCAGAATCCTCCCAAGTGTGGAAATAAGAGGCGTGTTTCTGGTGCCGCGCCCCACCTCCCCCCCACACCGTTTCTTTATAATTATTTTAAAGGCAAGGTCTAATTCTGTATCTTCTCAGCCTCTCATGGTAGATTTACTTCTGCTTCCAGATTATCACTTATGGTCCTTCCTTCCTTCCTTCCTTCTTTCCTTCCTTCCTTCCTTCCTTCCTTCCAAGTGTTTTTTGAGACAGGGTTTCTCCGTCCTAAAACTTACTCTGTAGACCAGGCTGGGCTTGAACTCAGAGATCTGCCTGCCTCTGCCTCCCCAGTGCTGGAATTAAAGGCATGCACCCATGCCTAGCTTACTTCTGGTTCTTGATCAAATACATTGCTGTTCAAAGAAATCACTGGTTTCCATTAGGGAAGGTAAACTCACGTGCTCAAGTGGATGCTTATTTTTGTGTATGTAACAAGAGTCAGGCTTGGCTTGTGTTTTTTATATTGTGTTCATTTCCTTTCACTTATACTTCAGCTCAAGCATAATTTAAAAAGGAATGGTTTATGCACGCCTTTAATCTCAGCACTTAGGAGGCAGAGCCAGGTGGATCTCTGTGAGTTGGAGGCCAGTTTGGTCTACAGAGCGAGATCCAGGACAGGCATCAAAACCCTGTCTCGAAAAACCAAAAAAAAAAAAAAAAAAAAAAAAAAAATACATTCTGTCATTACCAGAAAGCGCCCACTAGCCTGTGTATACTCACTCCTTGTTTCTTCTCAAAGGTTCAAACAACAATTAATCCAATTTTTGTTAAAAAAGATTTGCTTTTCTTGTCATTTCATATTAATGGAATATTTTTTCCCCCTAGACAGGGTTTCTCTGTGTAGCTTTGGAGCCTGTCCTGGAACTCAACTCTGTAGACCAGGCTGGCCTCGAACTCACAGAGATTCGCCTGGCTCTGCCTCCCGAGTGCAGCTAGAACATAGTCTCTTAGCTTTGCTTTTCTTTCACCATATGTATTTTGGCCGTATCACAGGCACACTGTATCTCCTCTGACTTGGATGGGATTATATATGGTAACACGTAGCAGTGACTTGTTTCCACTGCCAGTTAGTACTTAGCATAGCTATATATACACCCTATTTTATCTGTTCTTAAGTTGATTACCATTTGGCTTGTTTTGGCTTTGGGGCTGTTTTATTATTTTACCTGGTGTGTGTGCTCTATTGCTAGACCTACCAGTATAAGCAGTTTATGTCCATTTTCCACAATACAGTGTTTTCCTTTTTGAGAGTTTATACTTGTAGAATAGGAATATGAGCTTGTTTCTTTTCTGAGAATTTCAGTGGTGATGAGTTTTAGGTCCTGGTTTGTTCACTCTTGCTGCTCAGCCTGTATAAAAGCTTGCATGATTTACCATCTGTTCATTTGCTTGTCATTCACTCTTACTGTTGTCCTCCAGAGTTCAAAAGGTTGTGTTGTATTCATCCTTTTCTTGATTATCCTTTTTCTTAGTTTGCAAAATCATTTCCTTTTGTTCTAATGTTGCCCACCTGCATCAAGGACAGCCAGGGCTATTCAGAGAAGCCCTTTCTCATAAAACAAAATAAAAAATTAATTAATTAATTAAAAAGAGGGAGTGGATTAGGGAAATTCTTCCCACTCTTCCAGATTGTTTCCACTGTCTGAAGTGTTGTGACTGTTTGGGCAATCTATCTTAGGGGAGAATGTAGGTGGAGAGTTGTGGTATTGTGTATGTAGGTGGGAGGAAGAAAGAAAAAGAATATATCTTCTGGCTATTAAGTCAGTCAGTTCTTACTAGGTATTTTCACTTCATAGTTTGTTACACTATTTAAGGAAAGTGCTGGTATTTTTTTTTTTTTTCTAAAAGAAAATGTTTTAAGCATTAAGAACTGTATAGCCTCTCTTAACTACTAACCTTTGCCTTTGTGGCAAAAAAGCCATAGACCAAATAGAAATGAATAGTTTGACTCTATAATCCACTAAACTTTACTCAAAAAAGGTCTAAATTAATAGTTTTCAGACCCTAATTTTAGGGAGGAGGCATGGGGTGGGGGGCAGATTGCGACAGGATTCCTCTGCGTGTAGCCCTTGCTGTTGTGGAATTCACTTTGTAGACCAGACTGGCCTCCAGTGCCTGCCTCTGCTGGGACTAAAGGTGTGTACCACTACACCCAACTGAGACCCTAAAATTTTACTGTATTCTACATGATTTTGGTGAGGAGCAATGCATGTGATCATGCAGAAACCTAAAAGGTGTACTGAATACAGGTTTATCTCTCTCTAATGTCTACTCCTTTGCACTCTGCTGGCTTCTTTGTTTGCCTCCAAGAAGTAGACAGAAAACTGAAGCTTGGCCCGAGTATTTTCTGTGAGAAAGTCAAATTCCTACTGTGTAATGGGAACAGCAACCTCAAGAAGAAAGGGAACAAGACAGTCTTGAGACCTGGGATTGAGACTTTGTTTAGGAGTGAAGGACAAATACAGTGCTAACCCAGGAGCTTGCTTTAGTAAAAAACACCCAAGGATTTTAGAGTTGCCAGATTTTGATTGTTGTTGTGGCTGGCCTACCTCAGTAATTGAGTTATAAAAACATGGTAAGTTTGATAAGCCGCTTTCCCTGTTTGAGCTTTAGTTGCATTTTTTATAAAATGGAGATGCCATTTTCTGCCTGGTGTGTTGAACTGAGGATTGGAGATCTTTGAATGTTAAGTGGTTGGAAATAATGAACCTATAGGTTTCTTAACATTTGTTTGGTGTTCCTCCCCATTATAAATAAATGTTATTAGTATTGCAAAACTCAGATGTCTAATGGGGAAATTATTAAATTATAATCTATTATAGTTTTCCTCGGAGCATGAAGACATGGGTATAAATGTATATATTTAATCCAAGGTATGTTTTGGCCTTTTTTTTTTTTAAGATTTATTTATTTAATGTATGTCTGTATGAGGGTGTCAGATCCTCTGGAAGTGGAATTACAGATAGCTCTGAGCTGCCTTGTGGGTGCTGGGAATTGAACCCGGGTACTCTGGAAGAGCAGTCAGTGCTCTTAACCTCTGAGCCATCTCTCCAGCCCTTGTATTGGCCTTTTGTTTTTTTGTTTTTAACCAAGTGAAGGCTTCAAGGGTTAGAGGGTATGATCCCTTGTAGAAGGAACATCATCATGGCTGTAGGAACTTGAGGAAACTTGTCACATTGCTTGGGAAAAAAAAATCTCTACATTTGGTTTTTCATGCTTTGAGTAGCTGCCTAATTACATAGGTAGCAATGTAGGCGTACACTTTTAATAACTATTCCGACCTTTTAATATTTGACCTCAACATTTTCTTGTCCCCACTCCCCTTCCTCTTCATTGTTTGAGATAGGGTCTCCTGCTTGGTGGTGGTGGCGCATGCCTTTAATCCCAGCACTCGGGAGGCAGAGCCAGGTGGATCTCTGTGATTCGAGGCCAGCCTGGGCTACAGAGTGAGTTCCAGGAAAGGCGCAAAGCTACACAGAGAAACCCTGTCTCAAAAAAAAAAAAAAAAAAAAAAAAAAAAAGATAGGGTCTCCTTGTGGTCTCAGGATGGCTTTCTTGAATTAATACATTCATTTGTTGTTGGAGATGGTCTCACTGTACAGCCCTGGCTGGTCTGGAACTCTCTGTGTAGAGTTGGCTGGCCTCACACTCACAGAGACCCTCCTGCCGCTCCCTCCTGAGTGCTGGGATTAAAGGTGCACACCACACAACTAGCTTCTAATTGCTTTCCTTTTCATCAAAAGCAGCAATACCATATTCACTTGAGGCAGGAACAGCTTCCACATAGTTTGTCAAATAACCTCTTGCCTCCCAAACAGACCATGCCTTTATGTTATGTAGGTGTTAGCTCTAGTACTAAGGGGCTTCAGTGTGCTAAATTTTATCAAAGTAAATGTTTTAAAACTGAGACCAAGTAAGACCAAGTAGGAGAAATGGAGCAAATACCTTACCCTGTTAGGTTGTATATCCTTCTAGAAGTCATGAGCTTGACTCCCTAAGGTGTTTGTGTTTTTGTGTTTGCTGTTTTGTTTGTTTTTGAGACAAAGTTATTCTTAAGCCCAGGCTAGCATGAAACTTTGTGTAGCCTGTGCTCGCCTTGAACTTGCAGTAGTCTTCCTGCCTTAGACATCGTGCCCAGTTCCCAAGGTTTTCCTTATTCTGAAGACCTGGTCCTTGCTCCAGTTTACCCAGTTAGTACTCTGTGTTTTTATTTTTAGATAGATGCTAACTTTGTATTGCTATACGGAATGCTGGTTTCAGCTTAATCTTTTCCTTACTAAGGGAGAATTGTGTGTATGGGGAATTTAGTTTATATAAAGTGACACCCCCTCCCCAAGTTTTGTTTTTGATAAACTGTAGCAAATAATGTCAGACTTCTTAACCAGATCCATTTATATCTTTTAAAATCGTTTTGAGCCTCTTAGTAAGTAGGAATTTACTTTCAGGGGTATAGTAGTGGTTTCATGAAAGAGTAAGTTTAATTAATTAAATTCATTAATTAATAGTGAAATTATTTTCTCTTTTTAGCTATTCGGTCAGAGAAGAAACGCCTTAGGAAGCCAAGCAAGTGGCTTCTGGAATATACAGAAGAATATGATCAGATATTTGCTCCTAAGAAAAAACAAAAGAAGGTACAGGAACAAGTGCATAAGGTATGCTGCAACATTTCAGAAGATGGTAGTTTCACTTGTAGTATCATATTTTATATTCAGAAGACAATCCTTTCTTTCACTGGGATCTCGCCTTCTCTGGTGTTTTGGGTTTTTCTATTAGCTTGTAGTTCAGTGCCTGCCTGCCCTGTATTAGTCATTCAGAAAGTGTATAAGTGAATCTACTTACATTTCTGTTCATTTTCCCCTCTGCTTTTGAAGAGTATTTAAATATTTAGGAATATTGTTATGATGCAATATTAAGAACCTGGATAATGCTGGGCAGTGGTGGCGCACGCCTTTAGTCCCAGCACTAGGGAAGCAGAGCCAGGCGAATCTCTGTGAGTTCGAGGCCAGCCTGGTCTACAAAGTGAGATCAGGACAGGCTTCAAAGCTACACAGAGAAACCCTGCCTCAAAAACAAACAAACAAAAAACAACCTGGATAATGATGTCAAAATACATAGTTTTACCCTAACTTTTTTTTTAGTGAACTAAAGTTGTCATAGTGTTGACTAATCTCTTTAGCTTTATTTTATACCTTTGTGAATAAGCAGTATGTATGTAATTAGTAGCCAAGGAATGTCCTTTACTGTATTAGCCATTACTCTGTGGTTTAAAAAAAGTGTTGACGAAGCACCACACCTCAGGAGGCAGAGCCAGGTGGATCTCTGTGAGTTCGAGGCCAGCCTGGTCTACAGAGCGAGATCCAGGACAGGCACCAAAACTACGCAGAGAAACCCTGTCTCAACTTTCTCCCACCCACCCCTCAACCCCAAAAAAGTATTGACGAACCTTGTCTGTTCATTTTATTAGTGGTTATAAAATCAAAAGACTTTTAATATTTTTTTTTTACTGTACAGTTCTATAATAGTAAGCATAGTTATGCTATTATACAGCCATAAGTGTCAATCATCTCTAGAAATTTTTGTTTCCCTAAACTGAAAAATAATACTTAGTGGCCAAATAATTCCCCTTTCTATCATTTCTCGTATTATATTTTTCATCTCTATGAGTTTGATTCTTCTAGATTCAGATTAGTGGAGTTTTGTAATACTTGTTCTGTTTTCTTTAGCATAATATCCGTAAGCTAATCCATATCATCCTAGCAAGTGTCAGAGTCTCTTGTGTTTGTTTTGTTTTTCCAAGACAGGGTTTCTCTGTGTATCCTTGGCTGTCCAAGAACTGATATGTAGACCAGGCTGGCCTTGAACTCACAGAGATCCGCCTGAGTCTGCCTCTGTCTCCTGAGTGCTGGGATTAAAGGTGTGAGCCACCACTGCTCAGTCCAGAATCTCTTGTATTTTTTTAATGCCCTTTTTGTAAATTCTAATAATTTTGGCCTGGGTATTCTATTTGTACCTACTGATTTTAGGTAAGTTCCCGCTGTGAAGACGAAAACCTTCTTGCCCGATGTCGCTCTAGTGCTCAGAACAAGCAGGTGGATGAGAATTCTTTGATTTCAACTAAAGAAGAGCCTCCAGTTCTTGAAAGAGAGGCTCCGTTTTTGGAAGGGCCCTTGGCTCAGTCAGATCTTGGAGTTGGACATGCTGAGTTGCCACAGCTGACCTTATCTGTTCCTGTGGCTCCAGAAGTCTCTCCGCGGCCTGCCCTTGAGTCTGAGGAATTGCTTGTTAAGACACCAGGTAAGGTGGGGATGGGGTCTCAGTGTATAAGCAGATATGATTGGATGCAGCAGGAAATTTCTACTATGTGTTGTTGTGAAGCTGACACCTTTTACTGTATACAACAGTTTTATTCGAGGAAATCCCTAAAATGGTGGCTAATTTGATATGCTTCTGACCACAGATGAATTTGTGGAGCACTATGAAGGAAATGCTTTTAGAAGCTACCTTGTTTTATTGTCCTTTTATGATTATTGATCAGCTGCAGTGTGAACCAGCAAACAAGTAGGAGTGCTGCACACAGGGGAAATAAGAACTTGAAACCTGGGCTGGAGAGATGGTGCAGAAGTTAAGAGCTACTCTTCCAGAGGTCCTGAGTTCAATTCCCAGCAACCACATGGTGGCTCAGAACCATCTATAATGAGATCTGGTGCCCTCTTCTGGCTTACAGGCACACATGCAGACAGAACACTATACATAACAAACAAATAAAAATCTTGAAAGGAAAAAACAAGAACTTGAAACCTAAGCCTCCCCTGTCCCCATCATGGGGTCACTGTGTAGCCCTGGCTCTCCTGGAAATCACTCTGTAGACCAGGCTGTTCTTGAACTCAAAAAGATTCACCTGCTTTTGCCTCCCAAGTGCTGGGATTAAAGGTATGTGCCACCACACCTGGCGAAACCTAAGTTTCTTTCTTTCACCTACTAGCTCTACCAGTTCATGTGTTCCTTGGATATTTGTTTACTCTCTAAAGTTGTTTGATCATGTATAAACTGACCATAATCGGAGCTGGAATAATAGCTCAGTTAATGAGGTGATTGTTGCGGTTCATTCCCTAGGACCTATATTAAAATTCCAGGTGTAGGGGTGCACGTTTGTAATGCCAGACAGAGACAGCCTTGTGTAATTCGTGAGCCCTTGGCCCCAGTGAGAGACTAAATCTCAGAAAACAAGGTAGACGGCCTCTGAGGAACAACTTGTAAAGTTGACCTCTGGCCTCCACAGGTATACCCTAACATCAGCATAAAAAGAATTAATGTGTAGTATTTGAGTTTTGAAAACCCAGTAAGTATCTAGTAAGTTTCAGTATTCCCTTGAAGTTCATTTCCAACTGGTTTTCATTTCATTATTTCCTATGTCACCTGGGGAGAATGAAATCTAAACGTTTCTATCACCCCCTGGTTGTTGGTTACTGTAGTCAGCCAAGGAGTGGAGGGAACTCCTACATGTCCTCACATTTAGATAATAATAAGTTATTATCTATACATTCCCAACATTAGTTACTGGTATTTTTCCTTTAAAAAAAAGATTTTTGTTTTATGTTGTGCTATTTTAAATTTTGCCATGCCAAGAATCCCACCTAGGGCTTGACACAGGCTAAGCAAGTGCCTTACCACTGAGCTACATGTCCACTCCTAAAAGATTCTTAAAATTGCATTTATTTGTGGAGTTTAGAGGACAACTTTCAGGGAGACAGTTTTCTATCACATGTGTTCTGGAATCAAACTTAAGTTAACTTGTCAGGCTTGGCACCAAGTGATTTTATACACTATGCCATCTCGCCAAAATAAAGGATATGTTTTAAGGAACATGAATAAGTACTTACTGTGTCACACAAACGTGTGTATGTGCAGATGTGTGTGCTCAAGCATACACATTTATATTGTAGGATTATTTACTTGTTTTACCTATTTCCTTTTTTGAGAGAGTGTGTATGTCTCTATATCACTAGCTATCCTGGAACTCTATAGGTAGAACAGGCTGGTCTTGAACCCACAGAGATCTACTCACTTCTGTCTCTGCAGTGCTGGGATTAAAGGGGTGAACTACCACACCCAGCTTGTTTTCCTGTTTGTTTGGTTTTTTTTTTGTCTTTGGGAGGGGGCATTGGCTTTCAAGACAGGCTTTCTCCATAGCCCTGACTGTCTTGGAACTCACTCCGTAAACAAATCCTCTTGCCTCTGCCTTCAGATTGTTAGGATTAAAGGCATGTGCTGCCACCACCGCCTAGCTTTGTTTTACTTTATTTTGAAGACCTTGAACTATGTAGTTCTAGTCCATTTGTGCCCAGAATCCTGCTCTACTTTCTTTATCCTCACTCTCGGTTGATGGCTATGAATGCACTTTAGTCTTAAAACTTTAGTTTTGATTTTGGCCTTATTCTGTGGTTCACACATGCACACAGTCATTATACACTAATTAATGTGTGTCTTCATTGAGTAATATTTAATGTGTTTTAGTAAGCACTATTTTAGAATAATACATTCTTACTGTACCCTTCCTTATAACATGATGAAAAATGCAAACAAGAATTTGACTCATATTAATACAGATTTTTCATTTTTCAAAATTAGCGTGTGCTCAGTTTCTAAAACATCTAAGGAAAAATTATGTGCATTTCAGGAAATTATGAAAGTAAGCGTCAAAGAAAACCAACTAAGAAACTTCTTGAATCCAATGATTTAGACCCTGGATTTATGCCCAAGAAGGGTGATCTTGGCCTTTCTAGAAAGGTACGTTATTTTTGTCCAGTCTAAAATATGCTTAAAACCAGGAAATACATGATTTAAAAAATTGCATTTTTAGTAATATTTTTAACACTGATATGCATAGTCATCGTTCCCTAATTGTGGCTTCGCTTTCTGCAGTTCCAGGTAACTAATAACTGTACTCTGAAAGTATTAAATGGCAGAGTCAAGAAATACACAATTCATATTTAAAATGCATGTGTAGAGTGTGATAAGATAACCATGCTACAGTATCTTATGTTCTGGATATGACTTATCCTTTTGTCCAGGCTTTCCATCTGTGTCATTGTGTGGGTTACTGTGTTAATTCATGTTATCACAATGTCTGCTTTCAAGTAATCCTTTTGACCTATTGTGATTACAAAGTGCAAGTGGCAGTTTAGATATGCTAAAGAGCCTAGTAAGTGCTTTCTTTAAGGGGAAAGGTAAATGTTCTTGAGTTAATGAAGAAAGAAAACTGTATATTGAGCTTGCTGAGAAATATATTAAGAATGAACCATCCACCCATGAAATTATGAAGAAAAAGAAATTTGTGAAACTTTTGATACTATTCCTCAGACTACAGAAGTGCCCAGTAAAAATGGAAAAGGCATTGCATTTGTGGGTGGAACACATAAACCAGAAAGTATGTTCCAATTGATGGCATAGAGGTGTGTTACAAGAATTGAGACATTATAAAAAAAATCGGAAAAAAAATAACAGATTTAGGAATAAGTTTGAACTGAAATATCTAAAAATTACTATAGAAACATTGTCTGCTGGTACAAAAGTGGATACGCCACCTTTGCAACAGAGTTGGAGAAGTTGATTAATGGGAAATACTATGTAAAGCAAATCTACTTTGTGATAAAAATGAGCCTTTTTAGAAGAGGAGGGACTGGCTTATGCATAAAATAGATATGAAGAAGACACGAACTCTGGTATATAGTACAAATAAGATATTTTAAGAAAGAGAAGGAAAGAAATCACATTCACATAATTTATTATAGTATAATATTATAGTTTTGCATGTGCCTAATTAAAAATTCAGATCTATTATATATTATGCTATATGTAGGAGAAAACAGTGCATGTAGTATTTGTATTTTCAATAATCCAAAGGGAAGTTCTCAAAACTTCCCTTGTGGCAGGGTAGAGGTGGGGGCAATGCAGATTAATTTATATAGAAACTACAGAGTTTCATTTATGCGGACTTGATCTCTCTGTTTTGTAATATATACCCTTGACATGAGCTGGCTTCAGGTGGTTGTTGGTTTTGTCTTTTTCTTTCCTTTTGGCAGTATCAGAAATTAAGCCTAGAGTTCACACATGTTCAGCATGCATTCTGTGGTATATTTCTGTGTTGTCCCCCCACCTCCAAACTCGAATTGCTAAATAGTCTTACTAATAAAAAAAACCTGGAGCCAGAAATTGGAGTAAATACTGAAAGATTAGAGACATAAAAGAATAAGCCACCTCTTACCTCTAGGACTCCTCAGCCTAAAAGGCTTTCCTCAGCTGAAACACTTTAGTTCCTGTCTCCTAACTCCTTATATACCTTTCTCTGCCCACCATATCACTTCCTTCTTAATGCTGGGATTAAAGGCATGTGTCTTTCCCAAGCAAAGGCATGAGATCTCAAGTGCTTGGATTAAAGGTGTGTGACTCCCAAGTACTGGGATTAATGTCTTTCATAAACAAATAATTTTGGAGGTAAAGAACAAAAAATCATGGAGTCCGGTTTGTGTTGACTAGCTATTCCTGGCATTGGTGCTTACCCTGGAGTGTGGTTGATATACCAAGTGTACTACACTAACTTTCTCTTATCCATTAACAGTCAAATGCAATAGCTCCTCAACTAGTGGTAAGACTTCATGTCCACCTCCCTCCTCTGTCCTGGGGTTTTGTCTTGTTTGAATATGTGCATGCTGTCAGAATCTGAGTTTCAATGTGCATCCTAATCTGTTGTGTCTGGAAAACACTTTCATGACTTATCTAGCCGTGGGTTTTTGGCCTCATTGACAGCGTCAGGTATGGATTCTGTCTCATGAATCAGGCCTTAAATCCAATTCAAAAAGTGGTTGGTTATTCCCCTAACATTCATGCCACTGTTTCACCAGCCCTTCTTTCTTTGTTCTATGGGCGGGGCCTCATTAAATTGCCTTGGCGGGCAGTTTACTTGGGCATACTGGCAGACCTGGCACTTGAGAACCTCCTGCCTCACTCAGCCTCCCCAGCAACCTTCATTTTAGTCTGTATCACCAAACTGAGATTTTCTTTACAAGTGAAAATAATTTAAGAAACTTTATAATGACGATAAAGTTGGTGCTAATATTTATTTACTTAAAGCCAGGTTTTTGCTCTATTGTAGTCTGTACTGGCAATTACTGTATATAATAGGCTGGCCTCGTTTGTTTATGATCCTTTTTCAGCCTCCCAACTATTAGAGTTACTGGCATGAGAAGCCATGGCCGGCTTGCACCCCACTCCACCCCCAAGCTGAAAACATTTTACCTGACTTGTGTTATTTCTTTTATGCTACTGATCTACTTTGATACTGTTTCTGTGTAACACCTCAGAAATGAGTTAGCTGTATTAAAATTTCTTTAAGTTCAAATGTTTGATGTCATGATTTTGCAGTTACAGAATTACTTTTCAGTAACAGTGAAAAATCCAGTATTAATGGTACACAGAAGTAGAAAATTAATTCTGTTATCAAAAATGACTGGTATTGGTTCTTTAGAAGTTTGGCTTGAGAGATGGCTTAGAGAGTAAAGGACTTACTACCAAGCCTGATGACCTGAATTTGATTTAGAACCACATGATGGGGGGAAAGAACCAACTCTAAGTTGTCCTCTGACCACCTCAGTCCCTTATAGTTGCATGCACACATTGCTCCCCAAGAACACAAAATAATTGAACCATAAAAAAAATATTTTTTAATGAATTTCAAAAAGAAAAACCAGAATATTATAAAATCATAGTTTTTGGACTTTTGTCCTTACCTAGCTGGAGCAAGCTTAGGTCTTATAATCCTGTTCTGAGGGCCTAATTTTTGCTGCATACTAACTTATTTGATTTGTATTTGTGCTTTATATTTCATTTTAAGTTTTTTTATTTTTATTTTGAGACGTGGTAGCTGCGAGTTTCTCCAGTCCCACCCAGCCCCATGGTCCCACAGCAGCTTATAAAATAATCACTCAGAGACTTATATTAACTACAAACTGTATGGCCCATGGCTTCTTGCTTCTTACTATCTAGCTCGTATAACTTAACTTGACCCACAGCTACTAATCTGTGTATCGCCACATGTCCCGTGGCTTTACCTGTGTCCCATTACATGTTGCTCCTTAGATGGTGGTTTGGTGTCTCCCCTTACTCTCCTTTTTCCTTTTACTATCTCTTTTGGATTTTCTCACCTGGATCCATTCTGCCCTGCCATAGGCCAAGCTTTATTTATTAGCCAATGGGAGTAACACGTATTCACAGCATACAGAAAGACATCCCACAGCAAGACATGGTCTTTGTATACAACAACCTATATGCCCCCCCCCCCCCCCCCCCCCCCCCGCAATGCAACATTATGTCTTAATTTCTTTAACAAAAATAATTATTTAGGACAGGGTCTTACTATATATCCCAGGATGACTTCAAACTATCAATCCTCCTGCCCTAACCTGCTAAGTGCTGGAATTTTAGGCATGGTTACAGGCATGTGCCATAATACTTGGAGGTTTTGCATTTGGTTGTTAGGGAGTGGGGAGCTGAGGACTGCACCCAGGTCTTTATACATTCTAGGCAAATACTCTTGCCACTCAGCTACAACTGCCATGTGAGTTTATGAGTGTAACAGCAATGTCATGTCTAGAAGGCAGCCTCATTTTGAGTATTTTCTTCTCTTTGGTTTTTCGAGACAGGGTTTCTCAGTATAACCCTGGCTGTCCTGGAACTCTCTCTGTAGACCAGGCTGGCCTCTTGAGATCCACTTGCCTCTGCCTACCGAGTGCTGGAATTAAAGGCATGCACCACATTGTCCTGCAAGTGTTTATTTTCATATTAATAGAATATCATTTATTTAAGGACTATAGCCAGATATAGTTTTCTCTCCTTTTTCTAGAGTTTTAGGTTTAGTGTACAAAGCAGTGGGTTTCATTATGGCCTTTTTGAACCCGTGTTCCATTGTCCATTGCTCTCAGCCCTTACCTTCTCCTACTCTGCTTCCAGTACCCCTTATCCCCTGTAACTGGTCTCCGTTCTCCTTGTAAATGGAGTCCCCCACTTCATTTTTGGGTTTGATAAAAACTTTAATCTGTAGTGGTAAGCTGTCATGCTATTCCATGATTTAGAGTTGTTTTTCTCTTCTATGTTCATTATTCACTGAGTTAGTTTGTCAGTTCTGTTTGATGTAGTACTTATTTAAACAGAGCATTCACTAAAATCGAACATACAGAGAATTGGGTCCTTGCATAATGATGACATGGATATCGATCAAGTATTTCACATTTGTTTCTCGACTTAAGAAACTTAAGTTGTGTGTGTATGTGTGTGTGTGTGTGTGTGTCTTTGTGTGTGTCTGTGTGTCTATATTACATAAAAACACAGAATTAAGACAGGGTCTCATGTAGCCAGGTTGGCTTAAAATTCCCTATGTAGCAGAGGATGACCTTGAACTCCTGATGCACCACCACAGCCAGTATGGTCCTTGTTTTTTTGCTCTTTTGTTTTTTTTCTTCTGTTTTAAGGCAAGATCTTGTTATCTAATCTCTACCTACAACTTGTGGTCCTCCTGCTTCAGCTTTCTGAGTACTTAAATTATTGTGCTGATAGTAGATATTGCCACAATAACCCAGGATTTGTTGTTATGACAGTAGCTATCCTTAATTTTGGCAATAAGGTGCTAAAGAATGGTTTTCTGTACCTAAGTAAATCCTATTGCTTTTTGCTTATTTACAGTGCTTTGAAGTGGGTCGCTTGGAGAACGGCATTGGTGACTCCCGTGCCTCATCTCATTTGAAAGAGTTCGGTGGAGGTGAGTATTTTTGATATTGAGAAAATGTAAAGCAGGCAAATTTAAAGCACTTTTTTGCCTAGAAAGGTAATATCGTGTATAAAATTATGTACTAGTACAATTATAGTTTTGAGACTTTCTGACCACAGTGTGCTTTCTGAAATCATAGGGATTTATAGCTATTTTTAAGTTTTATGCTGTTACTAGTTAAATGAAGTTTTAATTATTACTATTTTTTTTAAGTAAGGAAATATTTGGACCAATTGTGAAATATCAGTTCCTCCTTAATTTTCTTAAGTACTCTAACTCTCCAGATTGTACTATTAATTTCATAGCATTGATTCAGTTTTGATTTCTTTGTTAGAAAATGTCCAGTGCAGTTTGAGAAGGAAATCATAAATCATCTGAGTTGTCCTTCACAAATTGTTTTAGTTTGCTGGGCGGTGGTGGCACACGCCTTTAATTCCAGCACTTGGGAGGCAGAGACAGGCGGATCTCTGTGAGTTCGAGGCCAGCCTGGTCTCCAAATCGAGTTCCAGGAAAGGCGCAAAGCTACACAGAGAAACCCTGTCTCGAAAAACCAAAAAAAAAAAAAAAAAAAAAAGTTTTAGTTTACTTTTTATCATATCTAAATTGTGTTTAGTTTCTTCTCGTACATCTGTGACCATTGGTCAGCTAGCATATGCTTGAAAAAGAGAACATATGTTTGATCCTGTTCTATTTCAGTTGTCTCTTTTAAGAAAAATTTATTTCTACTTCCTTTTTTTTTCTGTTCCCACTATAATGCTTCCCCTATAGATCCCCAGCTGCATCCATCTTTTTGTTGCTTTGTTTTACCGTGACATACTGATTTCAGTTAGCTTCTTGCATGAACATAGGTGGGGTGTTATTGACTGGAAATGGGCAAGTTCCTAGTGACTGTACCACTGAAGAAAACTGCTCTCCCTTTCCCTCAGCTGTTACTGGCTTTCACTGATTCCTTAGAAGACAGGGTTCAACAGCATTCCTCCTTTCCCTGGCTCTTACAGTCATTCTGTTCCTTATTTCACAGTATTCCCTCATCTTTAGTGGGTTGATGTAGATGTACTGTTTAGTTCTGAGTACTCTACAGCCACTTACTTTCTGCACTTTGACCTGTTATAAATGTCTATATTAACTACTGCCCACTGCAAGAAAGTCTCTGCTCAAGACTGAAAGCAGCATTGATCTATGGGTATAGACATAGTAGCTTGGCCACATGTCGTACAGCAAAAACAACAAACCAGGTGTTCCCCTCCTCCCTTCCTAGACCTGTGGCCTTCCTAGTCAAGGGCTTTTGATTGCTTTATAGTACCAATTATGAATTCCAGCCAATGGAGCAGGCCTCAGATTCATTAAAACAGTGGTTGATTACTCCACTATTAGACCAGTCATGCCACCAGTGGGCACAGCTTGTTTGGCAGGTTTTGTAGCTTCCCTAACACTATAATGGGACCGTCTAGACTATGAAAGCTGGCTAACATGGAGGAAACTTACTACCTACTTCCAGCTTGACTTCTCCTTTTCTGACCCTGTAGTTGAATTGGTTTTTGTTTTTTTTTAAGGCAGAATCTCACTTTGTAGCCCTGACTGGCCTTGAACTCATTCTGTAGACCGGGCTCTAGTAGTTTCTTTATGTAAAAGATGTGGCTGTCACCATCCTGTTTGTTTTTTGAGACAGGGTTTCTTTATATAGCCCTGGCTGTACTGAAACTGAATGTAGACTAGCTGACTTCTTACTTCGCAGAGGTCTGCCTGCATCTGCCTCCCAAATGCTGGAATTCAAGGCATGTGCCACCAAGCCTATCCCCCGTAGTGACTTTTCAGGGCTTGTTTTTCTATTACTTGAAATTTCACAAACTGTGTTCTGGCTTTAGAGTCATTGAAATAACACTTCAAATTTTAGCACATGGCACTAGATGTGCTCTGCTGGCAAAATCTTAGATGTACATTTCTGATAACATGATCCATGATTGTTAAGTATGTTAGCAGATACACTGGTTGGTTTTAGTCATGGCGATCACTTGTCCATTAGTTTGCTTGCTTTTAAAATAAATGGCTTGCAGATAATGTCAGCTCTTTTCTGGAACTTCAATGGTTTGTTCATTTATTTTTAAAAAACCTTTGTAAGTTGGGGACTGGAGAGATGGCTCAGTGGTTAAGAGTACTGACTACTCTTCCAGGGGACCCGGGTTCAATACCCAGCACCCACATGGCAGCTCATAGCTGTCTGTAACTCTAGTTCCAGGGGACCCGACACCCTCACACAGACATATGCACAGGCAAAACACCAATGCACATAAAATAATAAGTAAAAACCTTTATAAGCTTTGTCCTTTGAAAATTTTACCTACATGGTTCAGCACGTAAGAATTTTGTATGTATAGCCGGGCAAGGTAGTACACACCTGTAATCTCACTACTGATAAAATGAAGAAGCAAGTGGATCTCTGTGAGTTAAAGGTCAGCCTGGTTTCTATAATGCATTCCAGGCCAGCCAGAGCTACATAATAAAACAAAAAAAATTTTTTTCTTTTTTCTTGAATACAGGTTCCAGAAACTCTTAACTCACGATAGAGCACTTGCCCAGCATTCATGAGACATGAGTTCCCTTCTTAGCACCTCCAAGTAAAAAGAAAAACTAATCTTAACTCTTCTCTTGATCTTGGACTATTGCCTACTCTAGTAACTTCTCATCTCCATAGAGTAGTCAGAAACAGTGGTATTAATTAATTAATTCATTCATTCATTAACTAGCATGAATGTCCTGGAACTGTTTTTTTTTTTTAAAGTTTCCTCCCACTCCAGCTTTTAGTACTTTAAAGTAGATACAGATTTGTTCGCAATAAATCTGATTTTAAGAGCACATAAAGGTTAAGCATAAAGGCCTAGTGTGGCAGCTCACGCCTTTAATCCCAGCACTTGGGAGGCAGAGGCAAGCAGATCTCTGAGTTTTAACTGAATTAAGTTTAATTGAGTTTTAACTGAATTAAAAGTGTTTTAACTGATTAAGTTTGCAGATCAGGGCCAGGAAAGATGTCTTTAGTGGCTAAAGGCACTTTCTGCATGTCTTGATAATCTGACTTTAATCGCCAGGACCCACCTCCATTCTCCTCTGCGTGCTATAGCATCTCTGTGCTTACACACACACACCATTTGTGACCAGATGATAGAGTGTTTTTGAAGATGCAGATCATTTTTAAATACTGCATACATCATTGCTATTGTGTTAAAATTATATCTGGTATCCAGACAAATTTCACCATCAAATGCTAAAGTAGATATCAGTCTAAAATGCTTACTAAATTACCCATAAGTATAAGTATAGGTCATGATTTTCAAATCCATTCTTTCTCCTACTAAATCAGGAATGCCACAGTTATAGAATATACCAGAGAGCATGAGGTGAATAATCCCAACAAAAACCTCCATTGTCTCCTGGGATCATTGTCCAAGGACCTCCCTAAATAGGCACGCTGAGGCTACCTCTTAAGTCCCATTACATAATCCTTGGCATGTTACCCCTTTTAAGGACAGACCTATGCTTTGTAAAGCCTGGACAGTGTTAAGACACTAGACTTAGGGACGATAGTTAGAGTCACTTGGTAGAGGGCTTGCCTAACATGCACAAAGCACTGTATGTCCATCCTCAGCACCACAAGGTGTAAGGGCACATGCCTATGCTCTCAGCACAAGGGCTGCTGTTTATTAGTTTGATGTCAGCCTGAGGCTCAGAGTAAGACCCTGTTCTAGAACATCAGAAGAAAATTGTTCTAATGACAGGAGGATAAAAATTGCAACTGAAATCTGGGTGGTGGTGGCGCACACCTTTAATCCCAGCGCTCAGGAAGCAGATGCAGGTGGATCTCTGAGTTCGAGGACAGCCTGGTCTTCACAGAGAAACCCTGTCTCACAAAACAAAACTAAACAAAATTTATAATAATATATTCGTTCAGTGAATTTTAAAGTAAAAGATGATGGGAATTTTTTATATTTGCATTTTATAATTCTGGGCCTGAGTACTTTAAAATTAGGGGAAAGTTATTTAAAATGGTGGAAACAAGGGATGGAGAAGTAGTAATTTAGCAATTAAGAGCATTTACTACTCTATGAGATCCTGTACCCACTTAGGGCAGCTTAACAACACTTTTACCTCCAGCTCCAAGAGATCTAGTACCTCTCTCTGTCTTCAGTGAACATCTGTACATAAAAATAGAAAGGGTGGTTATGGTGGTGCATATTTTTAAGCATAGCCCTCAAAAGGCAGGGGCAGGTGGATTTCTGTTAGTTTAAGGCCAGCCTGGTCTACATACGGAGTTCTAGGCCTGCCAAGGACATGTGAGACCCTGTGTCAAAAAATACACGTAAATAAGAAAATAGTGGATATACTCCAGAATGAAAATGCACCAAAGCTGGGCATGGCTCTCAAATGTCTGGAATAAGCTACGTGCCCAGAGTATCTCCGTAGCCGAGACTTAGAGCATTTCAGAATTCTTTTGTCTGTTTGTTTTTTTGTTTTTTGAGACAGGGTTTCTCTGTGAAACAGTCCTGGCAGTTCTGGAACTCACTCTGTAGGCCAGGCTGGCCTTGAATTCACTGAGATCCACCTGCCTCTACCTCCCAAGTGCTGGGATTAAAGGCATGTGCCACCACTGCTCAAGTTTTTTCAGAATTCTTGATGAACCCTCAGAAGCTTTTGGAATCTAGTCTGAGGCCAGGGAAATGTCTCTGAGAAAGAGACACTTTCCCCAGTGAGGTAGGCTTCAGGATTAGCATGGGAAGTGAAAAAAGTTTACTAAGTTCTAACACCTTGCTTCCTTAAGACAGCTAGTTACAGGAAAAATTTCTAGTGTTAATATATCACCTTATTTAATATTAAAACATTTAGTGTATATCAAACATGGACGAGGTTTATTTAGCACTGCTAGAAATAACTGAACATCATACCACTACCTCAAAATCATGTGCAGAAATGGTATAGAAAAGGATGGTAGTAAACTCAGGCAGTAATCCCAGCTTACTTGAAGCCCTTAGGTTTTGTGACCTTGCAACAATCTTAAGGGCTCTATATTTTAAGACTCAGCAAGTACTTGTTGAGTTCATGTTAGAAAAGTGATCTCACATATTGAAGATTTAGCTCATTTGGTAATTATCATAGAACATCTTATGAAATGCCTGTTTATATTTCCCTTGGTGTTTCTATAACAAAAATTTAGCCGGGCGGTGGTGGCGCACGCCTTTAATCCCAGCACTCGGGAGGCAGAGACAGGTGGATCTCTGTGAGTTCAAGGCCAGCCTGGACTACCAAGTGAGTTCCAGGAAAGGCGCAAAGCTACACAGAGAAACCCTGTCTCGAAAAACCAAAAAAAAAAAAAAAAATTTAAATAAAAACTAGGGGATGGAGAGATGGCTCAGGGGTTAAGAGCACTGGCTGCTCCTCAGAAGGACCCAGTTTCAATTCCCAGCACCCACATAATAGCTTACAACTGTCTGGAACTCCAGAGAATACAGACATACATGTAGGCAAAACACCAATGTACATAAAATAAAAATAAATAAATCTTAAAAAAAAAAAAATAGCCGGGCAGTGGTGGTGCATGCCTTTAATCCCAGCACTCGGGAGGCAGAGCTAGGCCAATGTCTGTGAGTTTGAGGCCAGCCTGGGCTACAGATTGAGTTCCAGGAAAGGCGCAAAGCTACACAGAGAGGGCTGGAGAGATGGCTGTCTTGAAAAAACCCTGTCTTGAAAAACCAAAAAAAAAGAAAAGAAAAGAAACGAAACTAGAATTTCTTTTTCTAGTTTTGCCAGATGAGATTATATATTCATTGTAATTGTTGAATGCTAAAAGATATACTACAACTAAATGATAATCCTAATTTGTCACAAAATGTAGGGAGATCTCTTCCTACCTCCTTGAGACAAATCTTACTTGTTTCCATCTTAATTCTTTTTTGACTTATCTTATGCTTTCTTTATGACAAGGTCTTAAAAGTCTGTGCCTGTCTGAAACTTACTATGTAGCTGAGCCTGGCTACAAACACATACAAATCTTTAGCCTCCTTGAGTGCTTGAGTTCCATGTATAAACCCCCATTCCTGCCTCCCACCTTAATTTGCTGGGATTACAAATGCATGCCACCATACCCAGCATCTTTTACAGGAATTCTGAGGATTGAACTCAGATCCTCATGTATGCAAGGCAAGCATTACTGAGTTACTTCCCCAGCCCCCATCTTAGTTCTTACCATGTAGTGATATAAGTTGTTTTCTCAAATCTAGAACCTAGGGACTAGAATTTTTTTCCGCATGGTAAATGCCTTTCCTCTACATCTTGTCATAAAATGCAGCTACTTTAAATGAAAGATTTACTTCTATGTATGGGTGTTTTGCCTGCATCTTTATATGTGCATGAAGTCCCATCCTCCATTGCCATCCCCCATCCCATCCCCGTGTGAGTGCATAGTTTTTCAGTCAGGATTTCTCTGTGTAGACCAGGCTGTCCTTGAACTCAGAGATTTGCTTGCTTATGCTCCCAGAGTGCTGGATTAAAGGTGTGCACCATCATTCATGGCACACACACACACACACACACACACACACACACACACACACACACACACTTTCTCTTAGAGATAGCCTTATGTAACCCAGGCTACGAGTAAGGATGACCTCTACACTCCTGATCCTCCTTCTATTTCCCAAGTGATGGGTTTTTAGAAATGTGTCGGCACACCTTGCTTGAATCGCTTTAATTTTGTGCACATACATTTACTTGTTTGTGTACACATATATGTGTGCACCTCAGGGGTAACTTGTGGAGTTGGTTCTGTCCCCGCACCATGTTGACTTAAAGGCTAGTGTCTTTATCAGTAGGTCATCTCTCTGGCCCTTAGTCTCTTTTATGACCTTGCTGTTTGTGTGAGGCCCCTGCCACGGTCCCCTACTAGTTATGTAAAATTAAATGAGTTTTATTTTATATTTATTTATTTACTTTTGGTTTTTCAAGGGCAGGGTTTCTCTGTGTAGCCCTGTCTGTCCTGGAACTCACTATGTAGATCAGGCTGGTCTCAAACTCACAGAGATCCACCTGTCTCTGCCTCCCGAGTGCTGGGATCAAAGGTGTGTGCTACTACTGCCTGGCTGTATTTTTTCCACCTTACAGAAAACCTTTTTTAAATTCATTTATTTTTATTTTATGTGCATTGGTATTTTGCATATGCATCTGTGTGAGGATGTCAGATCATCTGGAACTGGAGTTAGAGACAATTATGAACTGCCATGTGGATGCTGGGAATTGAACCTGGGTCCTCCGGAAGAACAGCCAGTGGTCCTAACCACTGATCCATCTCTCCAAACCCCGCCCCCCCCAAACATTATAACTTAAACTAACCTGTTTATATTAATCTAGATACAGAAAACCTTTTAAGTAGGATAGTTTATTGAAAAACAATTTTAATTGAAGTATCTGTAACATGAAAATTGATTCAAAATACAGCAGCAACATTTTACAGACTTCAAGAAAGTCCTTCTAGGCAAGAGAAATGGCTCAGTGGTTGAGTTCTTGTTGCTCTTACAAGATGATCTGGGATAGGTTCCTAGCACCCATTTAAGACCATTCATAACTACCTATAATTCCAGCTCCAGGGAAATTCAACATCCTTTTCTGGCCTCCCTAGGTACTGCATGCACAAGCATTCAGGCACAGATATAAACACATTAAATAAGTACAATGTTTTTGAAAGTTACTGTGTTTTATTGCTGTTTCTTACTTTCTCAGACTTTCTGTTAAGTGATTAAGTTAGGATAAAACCATAGCTATAGGATTGCTGAAAAAAAAATGCTAGCTTTTAGCTTTGTCTTAAGTAATAGTTTTCTAGTAAGATAAAACCTATTACTGCTGGGGTTGGTGGTGTACAACTTAATCCCACTAGAGGCAAGTGGATCTCAGTAAATTCAAGGCAAGCCTGGTCTACAGCAAGGAGAGAGACTGTCTCCCAAAAATAAATAAATAATAAGTAAACACTATGTCTATTTAAATATGTTAGGTTTTACTGTAATTTACCATAATTTTTTAAGGATCCTTAATTTAACGATAAAAGTTGTTGGACATGTATTTGAGTAGCTAGCTATTAGGTAACATTTGTTTTCCCGTCGTAGGCACTACCAAGATATTTGATAAACCAAGGAAACGAAAACGACAAAGGCATGTTACAGCCAAAGTCGCCAGAGTGCACTATAAAAAAGTGAGAAAGGACGGCTCCTCAAAAGAGACTCCACGCTCAGAGGTATTACTCAGTTCCTCACCTTTTTACCTTCCAAAGAGAATCACCTTTCACACTAGAAGTCCCATCCCCTCCCTTGAATCTAAGAATAGTGTTCTACTGAGATGATTAATTAGGTTTAAAGAATCTTGACTTATGGAGAGCCCAGTCCCAGCGAAATAGATATTGCAACTATGGATAATGGCCCCTTAAAAAGATAATATCCTGTGCTCAAGATAGCAGATACAATATATGTAACTGTTGCCTTAATAAGTAGAGTTGTTCTAAAACCAGAGTACAGCTTAAGTAACCAAATAATATGAATGAACCTAATTAGTTCCCTATAAAAGTTAAGAATGCTGCAGTTAGGGGGAATTTCCATATGCTTATTTCTTGACCATCAGTTGCTTAATTTGGGATGTTTATAAACATCAGCTTTTGAAAAGCATTTTAAACAGAGCATCAGTGTAGTCACTGATGCTACCTCTAGCTTTTGAATCCAAGTTAAAAATAGAATTAGATCCAGTGAGTGAGCATCACAGATGCTGCTGCCGAGTGTTTTCTAATTTGAATAGAATGCCCAAGGGGGGCATTGCCTAGGAAACACGGATCTTGGAAGGACAAATAAGTAATCAAATAAACTTAAGAATGTTTTCTCTCCCTTAGTGAAACCTTTAAATGGAACAGCTCAAAAAGTTCCAGTGGAACAGCCTCAGAGCAGTTAGTGGCAGGGCATGAGGCGCCCACTACCCGTCCAATCACAGCAGGGTTAGAACTAACATTGCATGCAGTCCGCCCGCGTGATTGGCTGAACATCTGTAAGTGCTTAATGGCTAGACAAATAGCAGCCCAGAGGGAGGAGGGGGTCAGATGGAGGAGACATCAATAATACAGATGTGGGACATTATTTTTTCTCTGCAAGGGAGAACTGATGATTCACAGAACTGCTGCCAGCCCCAAAGAGATTCTTGAAGACGGTATAGAACACGATCCTGGGATGTCTGCATCCAAAAAATTGCAGGGTGAACGAGGTGGAGGAGCAGCACTCAAGGAGAACGTTTGTCAGGTAGGTGCTTGTCTTATTTTTGTTGCATGTGTCCTTTTTGAGAAACCCCCTCTTTCTCTTAAAGACCTTATCTCAGTTAGAAAAATGGCTATGGATGATCCCTCTTTAAGGCTATAATTCTTTTGTCTCCTTTGAAAAAGAGAAGGAATTAATTGAATATTGGTTACAGTTTGTCCTTGTGGCCCATGAGTATATGCCCCCAGAAACACCGAAATCTGTTTTTACTCAGTGAAAAATAATTTTCTTGTCCTCTGCCTGTCATAGTGTGTGTGTCCCCTCTTCCTCTTCTTCTCCCTCTTCCTTCTCTTTGGGATTTTTGTTTTTGTTTGTTTGGTTGGTTTTTAGTTTTTGAGAGAGTCCCACATAGCCCAGGCTAGCCCTAAACTCTATATCCTTCTGCTTACTCCTCCCAGATACTGGGGTTTTAGGTGTGTACCCCCTTAACGCCATTGATTCTTTAATTAAGGATGTTTCAAGGGTTGTTATTCTTTTCAAAATTTTTCTTTTATTTGGTGAATATTGGTACAATATTCACTGTCTAGTCTTTAATTTATAAACATTACATCATTTATTCATCCTGACAATCTTTTAAGGTAGAGTTTTTGTTGTTATTCCCATTCTGCATATGAGAAATGGAACTACACAAGAGATTGCATCGGTTGCATGTGGTCATGGTGCATCCTGGATTCAAACCTAGTTGTTTTGAGTTTTAACTGTTGTGCTGTTTGTTTGTGAGGTGTTTATGTGGCTTTGTGAGTTATCAGTTCCTTGATTTACCTTTGTAAATTCTTAAAATCATTATGAAAACCTGATATACTTGGCGTATGTCTGTGTGTGCGCGCGTGCGTGGGTGGATGTGCAGGTACATGTGGGCATAACGTGTGGAGGTCTGAGGACAATTTTGAGTGGAGATCCCCAGGTGACCAACACTTTTTGTTTGAAACTGGGCCTGCCATTTGGCCTGGAACTTAGATACATTGACCATGAGCATCCAGGGGTCTGCTTGTCATTTCCTCACATCTCATAGCTGCTGGGATTGTACGCACACTGGAGGCTTGGCTTTCTATGTGGGGTGTATGAATTTGAACTCAGGTCCCATGCTTACAAGGCAAGCGCATTATTCATTGATCCACTTTATCTGCCGCTGTATTTATTGATTTATTGGTGGTTTTTGTTTTTTGAGATGGGATCTTACTTAGTAGCCCTGACTGGCCTGGAACTTGCTGTGTTGACCAGGCTGGCTTCAAACTCACAGAGGTCTGCCTGCGTTGACCTCCACCCTCCCTGCACCCTGCTTGGACCCTATTGTTTTTTATTGAAACACTAAAAAGTAATCCCAGGCCCAGGCTCTGTTACTGTGACAGATACAATTTTTATCCCATTGCTTTGCGTTGTCATTTTCTCTGTTACATTAAGAACGTTTACCTGAGCCAGGCAGAGTGTTGCACATCTTTAATCCCATCCCTGTGGAAGCAGGGGCAGGCAGATCTCTGAGTTCAAGGCCAGCCTGGTCTACAGAGTGAGTTCCAAGACAGCCTGTAATACATAGTGAGACCCTGTCTTTTTGGAGTGGAGGTGGGATGTTTTCCATATTTGGACTAATTTCCAAATACAGTGTTGATCCTGAAAAGCAGTTATGCTCATTAATTATTGATAAAACAAGTCAGAGTGTAAACACATTTTACACAGATCATTTTTTAAAAGAATATTTGCCAGTCAAGGTGGTACTCACATTTAGTCCTAGCACTCAAAAGACAGAGCCAGGTGAATCTCTGAGTTTGAGATTAGGCTAGTAGTCTATGTATCAGTTCCAAGCCATTGAGGGGCATATAGTGAGACCCTATCTTTAAAAAAAAAAAAAAAAATTCAAACTTGGTATGGTTACACACTGTAATTCGAGCACTTGGGAGGGAGATACAGGCAGAATGAAGTTCATGGCCGTTTTAAGCTACGTGTGGGACAGGAGGAATAGGTAGAAAGGGGGTAACCCTGTGGTCCAGGCTTGCTGGATTGATGTGACGTGCATATATTTGTTGCACTTCCTTTCTCAAGTGTCCAGTTCAAAGGTAAATGATATGGTTATCCCAACTAAGGGGTTATGGTAAACCATGTAGTTAATTTGAAAAATGTATTCAGTTTGTACTGTAATTGAAATTTTCATATTTTAAATTGAATGTGAATTGGCTTACTGTATGAAAACTGTCACTGGCTCTCTAAATATGTAAATATATAAAACAGGATTTCTTTTTCTTTTCATTATTTTTAGTTTTGATTTGGGAGTAATAGATAATAGGAAAGTCAAATATTTGAGAATAAGTAATTTCTACTACATTAAGGCCCTAAGCTTAACTTTCTCCCTAACATTTTCCTACTTGTTTATTTAGGTGACAAAGACCTTTTGTCACCTAAACGGGTTTCTCTTTTTATAGCCCTGCCTGTCCTGGAACTCACTCTGTAGACTAGGCTGACCTTGAACTCAGAGATCCATCTGCCTGCCTTTGCCTCCCTTGTACTGGGATTAAAGGCTTGGCCACCATCCTAGCTGTTTCTTTTGCTTTGTTACAAATAGTAGATTTTGGTTTCTATGGATTCAACCAATTGTATAGATGGAAAAATACTTTGGGAAAGTTTATTTTGTTTGTGATGTATACTGTAATAGTTGATGGCTGGGTCTGTACTGAACATGTACAGATTTATTTGGAGGGGTAGCCATATGTATATGTACAGCTGTTTGTATTTTGTGACTCTGTGTGGTGTGTGTGTGTGTGTGTGTGTGTCTGTCTGTCTGTCTGTCTGTCTGTGTGCATGTGTATGCATGTGTGCTTATGCACGGTGGAAGCCAGAAGTCAAAAGTAGGATGTCATTCCTCTGGAGCTGTTCGTTTTTTGTTTTGTTTTGTTTTTCCTTCTTTGAGACAGAGTCTCACTATGTAGTCCTGCTGTCCTGGAACTCATAGAGATCCTCCTACCTCTGGGATTAAAGCTGTACTGCCATGCTCAACCCTGTCCATTTTGATTTTGAGGCAAGGTCTCTCACTGGACTGCCTCTTTAGGTAGGCTGGCTAGCCAGCAAGATCCAGGAATCTGTCTGTCTGTTTCTCCAGCACGGGTTTACAAGTGTGCACCACCATGCCCAGCTTTTTGCATGGGTTGGGATTGTACCTAGTTCCTCAGGCTTGTCCAGAAAGCTCTTTACTGACTGAGCCATCTCTTCAGCCTTATATAGACCCTTGGTTGTTGTGAGGCTTTTTCAAGGAACAACTATGTACATAGCATGCACGCTATAAACGGTGTTATAATTTTAGTGTTTTGAAGTACACAAGAGCATTGTGTATATACTATGCAGTTTTCTGTGTCATTTTGTACAAAGGACTTGCATTTTCACAGATTTTGGTATGGGGTGTCCTAGTTGATAGTATAAGGCCTATTTTTGTACTAGAATTTGTTTGTGAATCAGTGTGTAGATACAAATGGGATAAAAAGTAACATATTGGGAATTTCCAAGGTTTTCATAATGAGAGATAATACCTTTATTTCATAAGCTCTTCTCTTTAGTGACACCATGTCTTCATGAGACTGTCTCAGTCCATGATGTGATGTCTTTCTTTCTTGATGGGCCCAAAACTTGGTTTGGTTCCCAGTGAGAGGGACAGAGAGAGAAGGGGTGTGAGGGATCTGTGTTTTTGAAGTAATCTGAGGGACATCTCGAAGGGCTCTTACTTGGTGCTGACACTGCCTCCTGCACAGTCTTCTGGTTTGTCTCCTCTGAACTTTGTTCTTGAGTTCCTCTTCCAGGAACCAGCTGCAGGGTCTTTTTAAAATGAACACCGGAGTTCAGCCTTCATTTGGCAAAGCTCTCCAATAGGACATCTTTGTACAGAATAAAATCTGAAATTATGGACTTTTTTTTTTTATGTCATTTCCTGCCAGTTATGACCTGTCTTCACTTTAGGAAAGTAACAGTGGCTTTCTTTGTTGTTTCAGTCACGTTTTTCTGCCCGTGGGCCTTGTGCTTGCTCCCTTCCTTTGTCTCTTCACAGCCTAACTTGAACTTTCAGACCCTGGCCTAGAGACGTCATCCTCATAACCAAAGCCAAGTTAGCTATTTGAATTCTCTGCCTAATACTGATTGATCATTATCTGAGCTCTTTTCCTGTGTTATTATTAGTGTTAATTATCAACTTGACAGGATTTGGAATCACCTCCAGGTACACTTGTGAGGGTTTATTTATTCTCTGTTCTTGCCTGTAAGGGATTATCTTGAGTAAGTTAATTGATTAAAGTGGGGAATTTGCCCACTGTGAATGGTGCCATTCCCTTGGCTGAGATTCCAGACTGAGCCAAGCTAAAGCCGTTCATTGCTGTCTGATTGCTGATTATAGTTGATGTGTGACCAGCTAGATAAGCTCTTGCTACCTTGACCTCCCCACCACAGTAGACTGGTTTTTTTGTTTTGTTTTGTTTTGTTTTTTGTTTTTGAGACAGGGTTTCTCCGTGTAGTTATGGAGCCTGTCCTGGATCTTGCACCATAGACCAGACTGGCCTCGAACTCAGAGATCTGCCTGCCTCTGCCTCCTGAGTGCTGGGATTAAAGGTGTTCGCTACCACTACCCAGCCTGACTGTATCTTGAATTTTGAGCCAGAATAATCCTGTCTCCCTTAAATTGCTTTTCTTGGGGTATTTATTTATCACAGCATCAAGAAAAGTGAGACAACTTTTTTTTTATTTGTTTGTGTCATCTCTTCCCATAAAAACCAGAGATCTTATACCTGACACATAGGAGATAATTATTAAATATTAGTTGAATAAATAAGGGGATTTCACAGAGAAAAGATATTTCTTAACCTCTGATCTCATGAGAGCTCTTCATTTGGGACTTTTATAAAGTCTTTTATAGACCCATCTATTTCTTTTCCTTTACAGAACTGTGAGAAACTGGGTGAGCTCTTGTTATGTGAGGCTCAGTGCTGTGGGGCTTTCCACCTGGAGTGCCTTGGCCTAACTGAGATGCCTCGAGGAAAATTTATCTGCAATGAGTGTCGCACAGGTAAAGTGGATAAAGTCTGCCATCTAATACAATCGGGATTTTCAGTTTTTTAGGAAAAGGGTATATTGAAAATGCCACTTTCTGACAACAGTGAACTTGTTGTTGCACATGTAGATGTAGGTACTATAAGGTCCTAACCCTCAGAAAATCTTACATGATAATAGAATTGCCTTATTGTCTTTATCATTCTGAAATGATCTCTGAATAAACTGATCCCAAGGTAAAGCTGTTTCTGCATATAAATAAAATAGTATGCAGTCATTTCTGTGTGACTCAAGTGTAGTAATGTCTTTGAGATTCATCTGTGTTAAAGGATGTATCAGAAGATCATCTTTCTTCCCATCCTTTCCACTCTCCTCTCCCTCTTCCTCACACCATAGTCTAGGCTTGCTTTGAACTCCTGGCACTCTTTCTGCCTTGGCCTTCTGAATGTTGGGATTGTAGGTGTAAGCCAACATTTCTGTGTAGCTCATTCTTTCTTAAAACACCTCTATTGAGGCCGGGCGGTGGTGGCGCACGCCTTTAATCCCATCACTCTGGGAGGCAGAGGCAGACGGACCTCCATGAGTTTGAGGCCAGCCTGGGCTACAGAGTGAGTTCCAGAAAAAGCTCCAAAGCTACACGGAGAAACCCTGTTTCAAAAAAAAACAAAAAACAAACAAACAAAAACAACTCTATTGAGGTATTGGCACATGTATTGAGGCAGATTAGGAACTTAAGGCCTGTATGGGCCTACATCATTAGATCCTTTTCCCCCCTTTTCCTTGAGACAGGGTTTCTCTATAACCCTGGAGTAGACTAGGCTGGCCTCAAACACAAAAAGAGCTGCCTGCCTCTACCTTCTAAATGCTGGGATTAAAGGCATGTGCCACCATATCCAGCAATATCCTTTTATTTTTAATGTGTTTATATCTGTGTGTGTGATTTTCTTTTGTTACTCTTAAAATTTATGAGTTTTGCATGCATGTATAGCTATGAATCATTTAAATACCTGATACATGAGTAGGCTAGAAAAAGGTATGAGATCCCCTGGAATTGGAATTTACAGATAGTTGTGAGCTACCATGTGGATGCTGAGAATTAAAATTATATGCTCTGGAAGAGCAACTGGTGCTCTTAACGGCTGAGTCATCTCTCTAATCCCATGAGATGCTATCTTTAAAAAAAAAAAAAAAAGGTATGTGTGGGGGGGTGGCAAGATGGCACAAGCTCTCTGTCACAGAGCCTGAAGACATGAGTTGTTGGTGATGATTGATGATGATGTGTGTGTGCTGGGTGAGGTGGTACACTCATGAGGCAGGTAGATATCTGAGTTTGAGGCTAGCCTGGTCTACATAGCTGGTTCCTGGCCAGTCAGAACCGCACAGTGAGACCCTGTATCAAAACAATAAAGTGTACAGTTTGATTTGTTGTAACGTTTGTATTCGTAAATATCTGAAAATGCCTGAGAAATCATAATTCAGTATAATTACTAATTACCAACATTGTTGCTTATATCATAGTTCATTATCCTAATCTTAGGAAAGACTTTTCATTGTTGAATAGTATTTAATTGTAGGTATTTACTACTTTATGGTTTAGGCCTTTAAAAATAAAGTTTATTTTCTTTACTCTTGGATGAATAAGTACCTTAGTAGAATGTATAAATTATGTGGTAGTATAGCTTGAATTACATCATTTTACATTCTCTGCTGTGGTTTCTTAGGGTCTGTTTATCCTTCATTGTCAGTACCTTTCATTTGATTGTGTTGGTAGCTGGATGGTAGAATCTCCTGTTTTAGTTTACTGATTTGCATTTACTAACTAGCAATGCTGAACACCTTTTTCATGTGCCTGTTTGCCACCTTCTATTCAAACCATCAGGACAGTGGAGACTATCTCTCTATGCCTCCCTAGCTGGCCTGGAACTCACTATATAGACTAGACTGGCCTCAAACTTAGAAATCCACCTGCCTCCTCTTCCTTGGAAGTGCTAGGAGTAAAGGGATGTTCCACTATGCCCTGCTTTTTTTTTTTTTTTTTTTTTTTTTTTTTTTTTTTTTTTTAATCTTCTGAATATAAGAGCTTTCTCAGATAGGCTTTTCAAAATATTCTCCCAGTCTGTATCTTAAATTTTGTTTTGGTTGTGATTTTAGATAGTTTCCTGTAGTGTTAACCCCACTGTGTATATATTTGAGGATGACCTTGAACCTACTGTACTCCTTTTTCTACTTCCTAAGTGCCAGGATTATATACCTAAGATATGACTTAGGATTTGTCTTTTAAATCAAAAAATACAATTTTTTTAAATCTTTTTTTTTAAGATTCATGTTTTATGTGTTTATGATTACATGTCAGGTATATGTGGATGCCCTCAGAGACCAGTAGAGGATTGTCAATCCCTAAGCTGGTGGTATAGGCCATTGTGAGCTACTCAATATGGGTGCTGGGAAAGAAACTCAGGTACTTTGGAGAGTAGCAAGTGCATTTAACTGCTGAACCATCTTTGCAACTCCATGTTAACAATTTTAAGAATTGTTAACTGACACATAGTTATTGTACATTATATGGGGTGCAGTGTGCTGATTCCACGTTATGGTTAGTTTAGGGTAATGAGCATACCTATCCCTTTAAACATCCATCATTTCTTTGTTGTGAAACCATTTGAATTCCCCTCATTTGGATCTTTTTTTTTTTTTTGAGACAGGGTTTTTCTCTGTGTTGTTTCGGTGCCTGTCCTGGAACTCACTCTGTACACCAGGCTGGCCTCAAACTCACAGAGATCTGCCTAACTCTGCCTCTGGAGTGCTGAGACTAAAGGCATGTGCCACCACCGCCCGGCAGGATCTTTTAAAAGTACAAATTAAAAATAACTTACTGTTACCCCCATTTTGTAGAAGAGTATTTTTTTTTCCTAATTATACCTTTATATTTTGTTGACTAACTTCAACCCAGTTCTCTGAGTCTCTGTAACTGCTATTAAATTCTCTACATTTGTAAGGGTATTGTTTTAATTTTTATTTTCCATATTATTGTGTATATGTATATATGATGTATGTGAGAGAACTCATACATGCTCTGGTAGGTGTATGTAGGTCTGAAGACAATTGATGCTATAACATTTTGTGCATTCTGGGGATCAAACTCAGGTCATTAGACTTACATAACAAGCAGTGTTACCCACTGAACCACCAATACATACCATTAAATATTAGGTAACAGAGAGAGAACTAAACCATGTTGTGTATTACAGATAAGGTTCACATATTCAGAGCCAGTTGGTGGTGATGCCTTCTTACAATCCCAAAACCTGGGAGACAGGCAGAGGTTTTACTAGCCTGGGATAGATACAGAGTGAAACCCTGACTCAAACAATTAAATACCAATCTAGACAAAAATACTTGATCATTCAAATTCCTGTATAATGTTCAGTCTTTCTGCTTTTTTGATTTTTGATTTGTTGAAGTATTGTTGCTTTGATATAGGTAGGATCTCACTATGTAGCCTTGAACTCTGTTGACCAGACTGTCCTGGAACTCCTACTGCTTCTGCCTCTCTAGTGCTAGGATTAAAGGTGTGGTCTTTGTCTTGAGTTTTGAAATGGGTTTCTGTAGCCCAGGCTGGCTTTGATTTACAAATAGCTCAGGGTAACCTTGAACTCCATGGTATCCTCTCACTCAGCTCCAGTGCTGGGGTTATAGGTATGAATTGTCATGCCTAGCTTTTCTTACCTGTTCCAGGTCAGGTTTAAAACCTCAGTCCATTGTGGGGACACACTCAGCACTCAGGAGTAAGAGAGAAGACTCTGTGGAATTCGTGGTCAATCCTTAAATATATAGTAAGCTTGAGTCCTGACAGGACTGTATAAAACCCTGCCTCAAAGAACACAAAACAATGAAAACTTAAGAAATAAGATCTCAAAAACCATCTACCCAGACAAAACAGTCGGAGACATTAGATTAGCTTTTTCCATTGCCTTAACCCCACTAACAGTAAACTCAAGGTTAAAACATGGACTTCAAGCACTGCGTCTCAATGATGAATGCCACATCCCATTTCTTTAGAGTCCTTGTTGTTATTGCATAATTGCTAGAACGCAGGCATGCAGACTAGCATCAGTCCTCCAAACAAAAGCTGTCTGTTGTAGCTAGAGTTTTCCTGCCTGGCCCACAGTCAGGACAAATCTCTCTCACCTGCCAGCCCCACAGCCACTCAGACCCAACCAAGTAAACACAGAGACTTATATTGGTTACAAACTGTATGGCCGTGGCAGGCTTCTTGCTAACTGTTCTTACAGCTTAAATTAATCCATTTCCATAAATCTATACCTTGCCACATGGCTCGTGGCTTACCGGCATCTTCACATGCTGTTTGTCATCATGGCGGCTGGCAGTGTCTCTCTGACTCAGCCTTCCACTTCCCAGCTTTATTCTCCTCCTTGTCCCGCCTACACTTTCTGCCTAGCCAATGGCCAATCAGTGTTTTATTTATTGACTAATTAGCAACACATTTGCCATACAGAACATCCCACAGCAGTCTGTCACTGTATGTGGTATATATATATATATTGTACATCAGTAGGTCTGAGCTTCCATCTGCTTCCACTCCCTTTCTCACTTAGTTTCAACCTTGTCTCTACAGTTATTTACAAGTCATTACAATAAATATACAAGTCCCTTGATATGACTGAACCTCCAGAGAAGACAATGTTGTAGAGAGGATGTGACTTGAGTACAACAATTCTGAATTAATTACTGTGCATTTTCTTAGATAGGTTGAATAAAGTCTAAATTAGCAAACTCTGAATTAATGAGTTTCAGGTCCCAAGAATCTCTGAGAAACAACCTCAGTGGAAAATTATTTCTCTTCAATCTTGTTGATCCCTGAACTGTGTTAATCCACTTTGATCTATCTATATCATACCTGCTCAGACTTTAACTAAGTTTAGGCGAGACAAAACTATGGTTGACCGTCCTTTATTGCATTAGCAGGTTCCAGGAGGAATTCCTCATCTCCTATCT